TCTCATTGAAGTTGAGATTTTTCTGATTCTTAGTATAGTCAGTGATTTTCTACTGAAGCTTACATTTTGGATGTTATGAGATCTGAATCTTACTAAAATCTTCTGTTTTAGCTGGCCTTTGTTGACACCACTCCAGCAGGGGAAGTGAGGGACTATCTCATTACTGCCCATGGAAATAGATGTCCAGGTTCTCCACATGGCCTCTGTTGACACCCTTGGGAAAAGGGGCTGCCCATCCTTGCTGGGAGAGATGGGAATTCTGTCTACCCAGTGGCACAGTGGGAGAGAATGGCTCATTACTGCCCTCTAGCCGCTGCTTGGTCTTCTTTGAGGCTACCCGGGCAGAATGGAGGTGGATAACGGGGCACTAGTTACTGCAGGGCAGTGGTGGAAGTCCAGGTTCTTCACTTGGCTTTTGTTGGCAGGCGTGTGGTGGCTACAGTTTTTTTGTGATGTTTGGCTGGAGTAGAGCAGTTTTTTATCGAAAAGTTTTCTGTTTTGCTATGCTGTACCTTTATTCTAGTTTTTTTGACTGAAGAGCAACTTTTTTTTTTTTTTTTTTTTTTTTTTTTTCTGTTCCTATTCGCTTTTCTTGCTAGCTTATCTAACACCCAGTGTGAGACATGTGAGACAAAAAAAAAAAAAAAAGAAAAAAAAAAAAGAAAAACAAACTCAGCAGACTCACAGCTGTGTTATTCCTCAGATCCCAAGGTTCCTAGCCAGTCTGCCTTCTTCTCCACCTTTCAGAATTTTTATTTTTATTTTTGAGACAGGGTCTCACTCTGTCACTTAGATTGGAGTGCAGTGGTACAGTCTCGGCCCACTGTGGCCTCTCCCTCCTGGGTTTAAGTGATTCTCGTGCTTCAGGCTCCTGCCACCACACCCAGTTAATTTTGTATTTTTGGAGAGACGGAGTTTCGCCATGTTGACCAGGCTGGTCAGAATTTTAAAATGTTTATTATATATGTAATGTCCAGGGTATTTTGTGGGAGAAGCAGGAAAAAGTACTTCTAGTTCCTCTTTCCAGAAACAGAAGTTTATTCTGTTTGGAGCAGTGGTCAGATCTCTTGAGTACAGGCTGCCTCATAATAGATCATAACCTGAACTCACAAATATAAAATCCCTGTAAAGCTAAGCCTCTTCCTTTTCATATTAGGTTTTTTTTTCATCTTTTGGAATACAAAGTATATTTTTACAAAGGTAAATAATGTCACAGGTGTTGTCTCCATTCTTAGACTCTTCCATGGCAGCCTATAAAATCTTTTAACCCTCAGGCAGCTGCCATCCTGTACATTCACGTACACTCGCAAATACACACAAATTAATATCACAGTGTCACCTTCACTAAAGTATCACAAATATTTTAAAAAAATAGTTATGGGTTTCACTAGTTTGTAGTACTAGTAACTTGATACAACTGAAAAACAGGAAGAGCATTTTAAAAATCTTGAATATTAATGTTTGAGGAAAAGCAAAGTTGATCACCAAAGGGTAGGATGGAGAAGTAGAGAACCTGGAGGGGACATTGGGTCTTTAGGGACTGGTAAAATGGGTTATTCTGATTACCATTGCTTGGAAGTGTCACCATTTCTTTTCTACTGGCTTCACACAATACCTGGTATATGGTAGGGGATCCATAAGGACAGAACCACAGAGGGTGTTTTGGGGCTGACAGTTGGAGTCAGTGCACACTGTTTTCCTGTAGAAGGGCATACAATTTAGTACCTTTCTTATTTTGCTTTGGGGTGTTTCTGTCCTGTCTGTAACTATTTTCGTATCTCATTGACTGTCTTTTTGGCCTCAGTGTCTTCATATCTTGGCTTTTGGTTCTTGTTGGAGCTATTGTTGAGACCCTAAGCCCTGGTCTCAAATTGGTCTTGTAGCTTTTCACTATCTTTGTCAGGGCTTTGTGCCCTGTAACTCTTTTTTAAAAATGTTTTTAAATGGGCCAGGTATGGTGGCTCATGCCTGTGATCCCAGCATTTGGGAGGCTGAGGGGGGCAGATCACGAGTTCAGAAGTCCAAGACCAGCCTGGCCAACATGGTGAAACCCTGTCTCTACTAAAAATACAAAAATTAGCTGGGCATGGTGGCATGTGCCTGTAATCCCAGCTACTCGGGAGGCTGCGGCAGGAGAATTGCTTGAACTGGGACGCAGGAGGCAGAGGTTGCAGTGAGCCAAGATCGTGCCACTGCACTCCAGCCTAGGCTACAGAGCGAGACTCTGTCCCCCTCCCAAAAAAATGTTTTAAAATTAAATATTTCAAATATGAAAGTATAGAAGATAGAACAATTAACCTCTGTACATTTGTCCCCTGATTCCCTTTGTGGTGCTTGGGGTCCTGCTGTAGAACCCACAGTGTCTTCTGGCAGTTGACCTCGTCCTGCCATTGGTGCTGGGAACTTAGTAGCTTTTGTGTGTGGGTGTATTTTTCCTGGGGCTTTTCACATTTTTGCTCTCCAATGAAAGGTGTAGGGAAATGGGTCAGATGGACTGTGTAGGACCTGCTGGCTGGTAGCCTGATTTTTCTTTTTGCCTCCTTTGTGTTTTCATATCTCTTCAGTTTCTACATGTATATAGTAGTAATAATTATTCATTCATTTATCCATTCCACACATGGTCTTTATTCTTAGAACTTATATGTAGGTAGTGGAAATGCAAAATCAGTAAAATAGAGAACAAAGAGGTAGTTTCCTAAGAATTTAAAAGAGGGAGAAAGTATTTACAGCTGGACAAATCTGCGAAGGTAGATTTGAGACAGTCTTTGATTTGGATTTGGATATGGGAGAGGAGTGGTGCTGCAGTCCCTGGTGAAGAATGCCTGGAGGCACGGGGATGGAGAGCAGCGTGCATCCTGGAGGCACGGGGATGGAGAGCAGCGTGCATCCTGGAGGCACGGGGATGGAGAGCAGCGTGCATCCTGGAGGCACGGGGATGGAGAGCAGCGTGCTTCCTGGAGGCACGGGGATGGAGAGTAGTGTGCTTCCTGGCGGTGTGAGATCAAGAACCGAGATGCTAAGTAAGGTTGTATCCCTAGAGTCCTTTGGAAGAGAGGTCTATGGTATTACCCATCATCATCCTATCAAATAAGGGGCCTGATGGTAGAGGATCCTGTCAAGTAGAGGATTTGTGAAATAGGATGTGTGGACACATCTTATTGGAATGACCCATCTGAACTGTAATGACCACCTCACTAATCTCTAATTGCTGGGCTGCCAATCGCAGATGTACAGGTTATACCGTGAATAAGCACCCTGCAGAGTTAACAGATAGGGCTAAAACACAGCCAGGCTCTGCCAGCAGAACTGGTGCAGGCCTGTTTCCACCTGGAGAGGCATCCTTTTCTAATTTACCCAACGCACCATGAGGATTCAGATCTGTTTCTTTTTGTTTCTTAATGGTCCTCACATATCATGGCCAAATATTTATAATCTTACTGTAATATAATTTGCTAAATGATTGCCTTTAGCCATCTGTAGGGACTCAGTCATCACTTTGAAGACTGGCTCTATATCAGACATTTGCAGAAATTCAGAAGGACGTGCTCTAGATGTTTCATTTTTGCCGTCTGCTCTCCTTGTCACCAGCATTAGGTTAGATGCTCAGAATCTTTCCACCTTCTTCTGTCTCCTTGCAAGTGAGGATGTGGCTGCTGAACTGCTTAGTGCCCACCTCCATGGGTGACCTGAAGTAGACAGGCCACTGCGCCTCAAGCCTTTTTGCTGCTCCAGTGTCTGGTGCTTCCCGTCTCTTTAGGGCTGTCTTGCTCTGTCTGTGTCCTGCTGTTGCTACTGCTGCTCCTGAGCCCCCTGGTCCTGCCTCTGGTCCTGCTTCTGTCCCCATCATCCCAGTTGGTTTAATTCTGGAAAGGGAGAGATTCATTAGAGAAGAAAAGATAATTACAAGTGCAGAAAAGACAGGGAGGATATTGAAGGGAGGAAAATTGGGAGTGATGTAGCAGTAGAGAGCAGGGAAATAACAATAAAAGCAATTTTGCAATTATAGTGGGATTGACGGTGACAAACCCTAGAGTGAATGTTTCACAGGTGGGGGTATTTCTGGCACTGTCATTTGAGCCTCAGTAACAAGGTGACCTTGCTTTCCTCAGGTGTCCTCATGACTTCTCTTGTGGACCATGTCCATGATCTTTTTTGCCTGCGTGGTACGGGTAAGGGATGGACTGCCCCTCTCGGCCTCTACTGATTTTTACCACACCCAGGATTTTCTGGAATGGAAGAGACGGCTCAAGACTTTAGGCTTGCGACTGGCCCAGTATCCAGGTCGAGGCTCTGCAGAAGGCCGTGACTTTAGTATACAGTAAGTGAGCATATACACTTTTTCAGAATCTTAGCAAAATTTGGATTACTTTTAACTACATGTAGTGGTAACCTTATGCTGATCACATTGTGTATTAAAAGTAGATCTAGCATCAGTGGTGTGAGGTCATGTGTGTCTATAACAGAATCATGAAAGAAATAGGTTTTCTTAGAGCCTCAAGCATGGCTGCTCCATGTTTGTTTGTTTTTTTAAGAGACAGAATTAGGCTGTGTCAGCCAGGCTGGAGTGCAGTGGTGCCATCGTGGCTCACTGCAACCTCGGCCTCCTAGGTTCAAGCGATTCTCATGCCTCAGCCTCCTTAGTAGTTGGGATTACAGGTACATGCCATGATGCCCAGCTAATTTTTGTATTTTTAGTAGAGACAGGGTTTCACCGTGTTGCCAAGGCTGGTCTCGAATTCCTGACCTCAGGTGAGTCATCTGCCTTGGCCTCTCAAAGTGCCGGGATCGATTACAGGTGTGAGCCACCGTGCCCAGCCATGGTTGCTCCAGCTCTTACCTTCTGCTAATGAAGTGCCTGTGAGCATTGGGAGATCTGGGTTCATGTCTTTAGTTTTATAGTTTTTTCTTCACTCAGATGCAGGGAAGGAAGAGGTAAGGCGGGAGGAGATCCTAGATTATAATGTTGGAGAGGGAAAATAATGAGTTAGAAGGCCAAGAAATAAGAAAAAATATTTCATTTATAGCTCTTCAGTTTTTTTGCTTTTTAATGTTTTCACTTTACATTTTAATTTTTCGCTTTTTAATTTTTAATTATTATTATTTTTTTGAGACAGAGTTTCACTCTTGTCAGCCAGGCTGGAGTACAGTGGCGTGCTCTCTGCTCACTGCAACCTCTGCCTCATGGGTTCAACTGATTCTCCTGCCTTAGCTTCCTGAGTAGCTGGGATTATGGGTGCCGCCACCATGCCTGGCTAAGTTTTGAAGTTTTTAGTGGAGACAGGGTTTCATCATGTTGGCCAGGCTGCTCTCGAACTCCTGACCTCAGGTGATCTGCCCGCCTTGGCCTCCCAAAGTGCTGGGATTACAGGTATAAGCCACCGTACCCAGCCATTTAAAAATTTTATTACGTGACAGGATCAGGAGAGTGAAAAGTAAGTGAGAGTAGTAGGTCTCTCTTCTCAAGGAACTTAAAAGTCTAACGAGGTAACGAGAAATATATAACTAACTATAATACAGTGGGAAAATGTTCCAATGGAAGTAGGCATCAAGTGATTACAATAATCCATAACTAATATTACTGAGTGCTTTCATGTGGCTTATGATGTGGGTAATAGTATTACACCTGTTTTGCAGAGGAGGAAACTAGGTAAAAAAACTTAACTAAGGTTACACTGTTAGTAACTGGTCAGTCCAGGATTTGAATGCAGGCAGTTAGGCACCAAAATCGGCTTCTTATGGGCTATACAACTTCCTGTTCTAGGACTCAGAGCAAGAAGCCAGTCATTCTGTGGAGGCATCAGGGGTAAGGCAGATTTTAGAATATCAAACTGACTTGTTAGATTTTATGTCTATTTTCTCTTGTATTTAGACCTTCACTTATCAAGTCCCTTTTGCTCTCCTTATGTTTTTATTTTTAATTTTATTTTTTAGAGACAGGGTCTCTGCTGGGCACAGTGGTTCATGCCTGTAATCCCAGCACTTTGGGAGGCTGAGGTGGGAGGATTGCTTCAGCCCAGGAGTTCAAGACCAGCCTGGGCAATATGATGAGACCCCATCTCTATAAAAAAATTTAAAAATTACCCAGGTGTGGTAGGGTGCACCTCTAGTTCCAGCTACTTGGGAGGATGAGGTGGGAGGATTGCTCAAGCCCAGGAGGTCGAGGCTACAGTGAGCCATGTTCACATCTCAGCCTCCCAAGTAGCTGGAACTCTGTCTCTAGATAGATAGGTAGATTAGACAGATAGATTGATGGATAGATAGCCTCCCAAGTAGCTGAGTCTATAGGTACACACCACTACACCTAGCTAATTTATTTTTTAGAGACAGGGTCTTGCCATGTTGCCCAGGCTGGTCTTGAACTCCTGGGCTCAAGTGACTATCCCACCTTGGCCTTCCAAAGCCCTGCGATTATAGGTATGAGCCACTGTGCCTGGCTCCCTTTTATTCTCCTTGAATAGTAAATTTTTAGTTGATCTGCTAAGCTGAGGTCCTTTTAGGGGAATTCAGTCTCAGAATTATAAAAACAAAAGGAAAAGTCCAGGTCTGACACCAGGCAGGTGATAATGTTAATCTCGAAGGGCCACGTCCTGAAGGGGCTAACAAATAATAGGCGCATGCATCTGTCACCTGGTAATATGGGCTCTGGCTGTTTAGGAGCAAACACTGAGCTGCACCTGCCCCAGGTGCAGCCCCTTTCTCTGAGTACCGGAACATGGCTTTCTTCAAGGTCTCTTCTTTACTGTGCTGTGATTAACTGATTTGTGCTGTACTGCAAATAGGAAGCCTTTCCTCTGTTAAAGGCTATTTTTCACAGAAAACAGAAGTTTAAGACTTAAGAATTACATCTTGGGTACTTCAGTAGTTTTTTTGGAAAAAGGAATAAAAATTTTTTTACTCATTTGTAATTTTGAATTAAATATTTACCATTATTTTCACAGAGGAAGCAGACTTTCTTTTCTTATAGGTGAGCAGTGCTATAGCTTTTAATACTTAAGGAGTTGTGTTTGTTTCCTAAGGCTGCCATAACAAACTGGCTTCAAACAACAGAACTTACTCTGTCACAGGTACTGCAGGGCCATGTTCCCTCTGCAAACTTGAAGGAATAATCCTTCCCAAACCTCTGCTGCTTTCTGCCAGTCATGGGTTGTAGATGCCTTACTGCCGTCTCTGTCTCCGTGGTTGCGTGGTCTTCTTCCCTCTGTCTCTGTGTCCAAAATTTCCTTTCTTGTAAGGATACCAGTCATTACATGAGGGCTCACCCTATTCAGTATGACTTCATTTTATCTCAGTTACATCTTCGAAGACTATTTCTTTGAGTTAGGACATCAATAAATCTTTTTGTGGGGACACATTCAACCCACAGCAGGGATCTCTTTCATATAGAAATACCTCCATCATAGAGTGGCCTAGACCCTTCTGAAGGATGTCTTCCATAAGGAGGAGAGTCGACTATTTTTTCACATTGGAGAAGTTTTTATATAGGGAGTTACAGTTTCAAAAAGATGGTAGAACAACACAGCCTAAAAACCTCCTGCTGAAAACACCCAGAAATGAGGGTAAATGTATATCGGCAATTACTTTAAATGTGTACTTAAGCTTGAAAGAAAGAAAACTTAAGATGCTAGAAATAAAAGGAGAGCATTAAGGTAGTAAGTGTGTACGTGGACACTGAGGCTCCTGGGTTCAGTCACAGCAAAATTGGGGCTTGGTTTGGGCTTACATAGGGTGGAGTGTCAGAACAAGACCCTTGTGGCTGGGTGCAGTGGGTCACGCCTGTAATCCCAGCACTTTGGAAGGTTGAGTTAGGCAGATTGAGCCCAGTGGTTTGAGACCAGCCTGGGCAGCATGGCAAGACCCCATCTCTACAAAAACACAAAAAGTTAGCTGGGTGTGGTGGTGCACACCTACAGTCCCAGCTACTTGGGAGGTTGAGGTAGGAGGATGGCTTGAGCCTGGGAGGTGGAGGCTACAGTGACCTGAGATTGTGCCATTGCACTCTAGCCTGGGTGACAGAGTGAGAAGAAAAAGACCCTTGCATAAAGGAAAGTTCTTGTCATGCCACAACCTAATGAAGTGATGATAGGTGAGAGTAGTAGTTTGCCCATGGATACAGGGTGACTCACCTCCACTTGGCTTTGCGTGGGAAGGAAAAGTCAATTTCACCTAAGAAATTGAAATGTTGTTCTTGTGCCTTGTAAAATGTTGAAGCTGGAGTTTATACTCCCCAAAGTCTACGAATTCCTAAGCCAACGTTGAAACATTGGTATTGGTCCCAGAGTGATGACACTGCTGTGGTAGGCAGCCAGAGCAAATGCAGAACCACTCTGGAGGAAGTGTGCCACAACTCGGGCCTCAGGGGACCCTTACAGAAAGAACTCCTACAGGGACGAGCTTTCAGCAAAACATGACAAAATGCAAGAGGAGACGTTCCACAGTGAGCAGGAGTCGGTAGACACACAGATAGGTGACCTAGAGGCCCCATCCCCTGAGCTTGCCATGATATCATGACAGCCCAAAAGGGAGCAGAAAAAGAAGAAAAGCCCTGTTTATTTCATGAGACCAGAATAACCTAAATACCACAACTGGATAAAGACAGCATAAGAAAGGAAAATCATAGGCTAGTCTTATTTGCATAGACACAAAAAACTCCCAATTAAAATGTTAGCAAATGAAATCCAGCAGTTGTATGTTTATGAATATGTGGGAACTTACATCCATCAGGAGCTTATTTTAGGATGCCAGGATGATTTAATGTTAGGAAATCTATTGATATAGATTAAAGAAGAAAAACATTTTCTCAGTAGGTGTGGAGAAGTCTGAGGCTAATTCCCCTAATAGAATATGCATTCCTCATGCATGAATAAATAAGAGTGATCACCGGCTGTCACTGACTAAGACTGCTAGACATTTTAAAGAAAGTGGAAGAAGGACAGCCTCAGGAATATGTCAAACTGAAGAGACAATATACTTGCAACAAACAGCTGCAAGCCTGTTTAAAGCCAAGCAAGTGCAGGGTTGGCGTCAGGTTGCGTCTGGGTGTGGGGTGGGGATTCGTGGCCCTGTGTCCTGGTAACGCAGATGTTGCCCTTTTGTTTCAGTTTTTCTTCTTTCGGAGACGTGGCCTGCATGGCTATCTGCTCCTGCCAGTGCCCAGCAGCCATGGCCTTCTGCTTCCTGGAGACGCTGTGGTGGGAATTCACAGCTTCCTATGACACCACCTGCATTGGCCTAGCCTCCAGGCCATACGCTTTTCTTGAGTTTGGTTTGTAATCTTCTTTCATATTTATTGTTGTCGCCCATGTTGTTGTATGTGTAGAGTTTACAGTTTAGATTTGGCTTTGACCATCAGGAAAACCATTGGAGATGCAAAACATGTCGCTGAAGAACAGACTCGTACTGTGGGATTTCATAGCGATTGGAGTGGCCTGGAAAGCGTCACGGCTCCACACTCCGGCTTCTCACCTCCACAGAGCCTGGGCCAGGGTGGGGGAGGCCAGGGTGGGGGAAGGGCGAAATGGGTTGTTTATAATCCACAGCTCTCTGAGGCTGGGGTCAGCAAATGCTGGTCCTTAGGCCAGCCGCCAGCCACCTGTTTTGTAAATAAAGTGGAACATGGCTATGCTCATTCATTTACATGTTGTCTGTGGCTGCTTTTGCCCTATGACGGCAGAGTTGAGTTGTCACAGAGACCATGTAGCCAGCAGCCTAAAATATTTACTAACTGGCACTGTAAGAAAATTTTGTTGACCCGTGCCTTAGAGCATTGCTACTCAAAGCTCAGGAGTTCGAGACCAGCCTGGGCAATATAATGAGACCTTGTCTCTACAGAAAAATAATTTAAAAATGAAAAAAATTAGCCAGGTATGGTGGCACACATCTGTGGTCTCAGCTACTTGGGAGGCTGAGGTGGTAGAATCACTTGAGCCCAGGAGGCCAAGGCTGCAGTGAGTTGTGATCACGCCACTGCATTGGACCCCAGAGCGGTCAGCAGTGAGACTCTATCTTCAAAAAAAGAAATGTGAACTTCATTTAGTACATATTGTCTTATAATATCCATTCTAATGAAAATGCTGAACTTGTGTTGCTCTCTGTTTGCAGACAGCATCATTCAGAAAATGAAGTGGCATTTTAACTATGTAAGTTCCTCTCAGATGGAGAGCAGCCTGGAAAAAATTCATGAGGAGCTCAAGTTGCAGCCTCCAGTGGTTCTCACTCTGGAGGACACAGATGTGGCAAATGGGGTGATGAACGGTCACACACCAATGCACTTGGAGCCTGGTAAGCGGCTTGCCGTTCCCTGATGTTGATCAAGTGATACTACATATTTCAAATGGACATTGATTTTTTTTTTCCGCTAGAAAGCTGTTTTTTGGGGAGAAGGAGTGGCATAAAATATGCTGAGAAAAATATGGACCAATCCTGTTTCTTGGTGGCTGTTATAAAAAATTTGACTACAGGCCAGGTGCGGAGGCTCACGCCTGTAATCCTAGCACTTTGGGAGGCCGAGGCAGGCAGATGACTTGAGTCCCGGAGTTCAAGACCAGCCTGGGCAACATGGAGAAACCCCATCTCTATCAAAAATACAAAAAAGTAGCCAGAGGTGGTGGCTTACGCCTGTAGTCCCAGCTACGCCAGAGACTGAGGTGGTAGAATTACCTGAGCCCAGAAAGTCAAGGCTGCAGTGAGCCATGATCGTGAGCCACTGCACTCTAGCCTGGGTGACAGAATGAGAACCTGTCTCAAAAAAGAAAAAAATGGACCATTAAGACAGTGGATTGGTTTGAGGGAGGCTATTGTGATGAAATTCAGGAGCTGAAGAGTGATTTGGCAGGTTATTTTCTTTTCTTCTTCTTCTTTTTTTTTTTTTTTTAAATAGAGGCAAGGTTTCCCATGTTACCGCCCAGGCTGGCTTCGGGCTCCTGGGCTCAAGCCATCATCCTCCCACCTCGGCCTTTCAGAATGCTGGGATTACAGGTATGAACTACCATGCCCAGCTGGCAGGTTATTTTCTTAATTAGGATGAAATCTACAAGTTTATTATTATTATTATTATTATTAATTTTTGAGGCAGAGTCTCACTCTGTTACCCAGGCTGGAGTGCAGTGGAACAATCTCGGCTCACTGTAACCTCTGCCTCCCGGGTTCAAGTGATTCTCCTGTCTCAGCCTTCCGAGTAGCTGGGACTATAGGCGTGTGCCACCATGTCCGGCTAAATTTTGTATTTTTTAGTAGAAATGGGGTTTCACCATATTGGACAGGCTGGTCTTGAACTCCTGACCTCATGATCCGCCTGCTTCGGCCTCCCAAAGTGCTGAGATTACAGGTGTGAGCCACTGCACCTGGCAAGTTTATTATTTTTAAATTTTATCTATTTATTTAGTAAGTCCAAGTTGTTCTGACAGAACTACAAGTTTAAATGTTATAAAGATTCATCCTCTTTTCTGTAAGTTACTTATTGAACTGTATAGATTTGTATTTTATATATATATATATATATATATATATATATATATATTTGTAGAGAGAGAAAGAGAGACAGAGCCAGAGAGAGAATCCTTATCTCGTCATATTATTTAGTGAAATGTTGTAGATCTGAAACCCCTGCTCTTCTTGTTGGAGGGAGGGCAATGGGGATAGAGCGCTGGGCAGGGGGCCGGAGCCTGGGCTTCTAATGTTCTCACTGTCTGGCTCTCCCTGAGAACTGGGATCTCCCTCTGTCCCTGTGGATTTCAGAGACCTCATCTGAAGAAAGATGTCTTAACGAATGTGATCACAGTGCCCTGACATTCCATGACTTTGTCATTAACGTCATTAGCCACTCAATGCTTAGCACATAACAAAGCATGATTTTTTGCATTCCTGTTTACAGTTACATACAATTAAATTAATATTTAATTAAAGTGGATATTTACATTCTAAGAATTCTGTAATGGCATAAGAGCTGAATCTGTTGCTAAAAGAATTGTCTCACTATAGTAGTCTAATTATTTTTGTTTTTAACTGTTTTATGCTAAACTCATTGCTTGAATTTTAAAAGTGATGTATTAAAAATCTTCATGGTTTTGACTTAACTTTGTGTTTTAGTTTAATGTGTTTCAGCCAATACTTGGATTGGCTCTCATGCCAGTCAATAAGTGGTTCCAGTTTATGTTGAGAATAAACTTAATTTTTGCAAAAGGAAGACTGGGTAATTGAGCTCCAAGCGTCTCCCTTATCATATACGAGTGCAGGCATATCTTTGTAATCTGTATTTTGTTTTTAAACACTTAGACAAGAGGAGCAAACCCAGAAAGTGTCACCTTGCCCGTCTTTCTAGGACATTTTACTGTGATTGATTTACCCTATTGTCCTGAGGTTAGACTCTTTACAGGTAGCATATTCTGTTCTAATAGTAACTTTGCTCAGTGGAAACTCTAACACACTAACAATAGGCATAGTTGGATTGTGGCTAGTATTTGTGTGTGTGTGAAATATAAGGGCAAGAAAGGAGGATAGCAAGAGAATGGGAGGGACACCAGTTAATTGTGTGAACCAAAATCAATTCCAGTGGTTGTCTTTACAGAGAAAACGAAAATTTGTTCTAACTATAGTTCTAGAAACAGCTTGTAACCTAAATAATCAATGTTTCCCTCTTTCCAATTAGTTTAGAATTTTAAAAATCGCATTTGCTGTGAATTACTCTGGAAGCGCATATGACATCGCATATTGTCATTGTCAGAGGACAAGCTGAATGTTGAGGCATATGATAGAAATACTTTAAACATTTAACAACCAATTACAAATAAAGCCTTGGTCCTCTCTGGTAGTATAAGACGTTGTTTGTTTGTTTGTTTTTAAGACTGTAACATGGGGCCGGGCGCGGTGGCTCAAGCCTGTAATCCCAGCACTTTGGGAGGCCGAGGTGGGTGGATCACGAGGCCAAGAGATCGAGACCATCCTGGTCAACATGGTGAAACCCCGCCTCTACTAAAACTACAAACAATTAGCTGGGCATCGTGGCGCGTGCCTGTAATCCCAGCGACTCAGGAGGCTGGGGCAGGAGAATTGCCTGAACCCGGGAGGCGGAGGTTGCGGTGAGCCGAGATCGCGCCATTGCACTCCAGCCTGGGTAGCATGAGTGAAACTCCGTCTCCCAAAAAAAAAAAAAAAAAAGAGACTGTAACATGGAAAAAATGTTGATATGTTAAGTACAAAAGGGACATAAAATTGTATATACAGTAGAAGGACGGCTGTGTGAACACACCAAAAACCTATGCACAGACATGTCTAGGGGAGCATTTAACACCAGAAGATTAACAGTGGTAGCATTTGGGTGGCAAACTGATTCTTTGTAAAATTCCCCAATTTTCCTTAATAAGCAGTAATTACAATTCCAACGGGAAATAATTTTTTTAAAAAAGACATTGTTTTATTTATTTAAATTTTTTTTGAGGCAGGGTCTTGCTCTGTCATCCAGGCTAAAGTAGAGTGGTAGAATGTCTGCTTACTGCAACCTCCACCTCCGGGGCTCAAGCTATCCTCCCACCTTAGTTTCCTGAGTAGCTGGGACTACACCTGGCTAATTTTGGGTGGTGTTTTTTTTTGAGACAAGGTCTTGCTGTGTTGCCCAGGCATGAGTGCAGTGGTGCAATCATGGCTCACTGCAGCCTCAGCCTCCCAGGCTCAGATGATCCTCCCACCTCAGCCTCCCAGGTAGCTGGAACTACAGGTATGTGTCACCATGCCTGGATAATTTTTTGTATTTTTTTTGTAGCGACAGGATCTCACGATGTTGCCCAGGCTGGTTTTGAACTCCTGGGCTCAAGCGACCTATTGCCTGCCACAGCCTCCCAGAGCACTGGCATTACAGGCTCGCACCACCATGCCTGACCCAGGAATTGTTTTAGGAGTTTTCAGCCTCATCCCTATTGACGTTTTTGCATCAGATAATTCTTTATTATGGAGGCCGTCCTGTGCATTCATTGTAGGATGTTTAGAAGCATTCCTGGCCTCTACCCACTAGATGCCAGTAGCAGCCTGTCTCTAGTTGTGACAACCAGAAATGACTTCAGACATTGCCAGATATCCACTGGGGGGCAGAGTGTCCCTGGTTGAAAACCACTACTGTAGACAGAAAGGAAATTCAGCACTTGAACAACCTGTGCTTGCCTGGAAAAGAGCCTTTTTCTGGAATAAACTTCCCTCGGGTGCCCACATCCATTCTGTCCATCATTTCTTGCCTTTTCCCTCTAACTTCTGCTGCTTTTACAATTCATGTTTATGATTCTGTGTTTAACATAGTGAACCTATCATTAGTGTAAGCCTAGTTCATGTCTTTATTTTTCTTTCATATAGAAATTATTTTCACTAGACACTTGTTTTTTTTCCTTGTGAAGCTCCTAATTTCCGAATGGAACCAGTGACAGCCCTGGGCATCCTCTCCCTCATTCTCAACATCATGTGTGCCGCCCTGAATCTCATTCGTGGAGTTCATCTTGCAGAACATTCTTTACAGGTAACTTTTTTTTTTTTTTTTACAGTTTAAATTGAAGGATATATGACAGAAGAAAGTGATAGGGATACATTTTATCTACAACGTTATTATACACTGAGTTACAATTTTTCAAATCTAATATGAATTTTATTCTTTGTAGTAAGTTGAATGACTATGAAAATTGCTTTTTTATGTCTGTTGTCCTAAGAGGCCAGAGGGGCATGCCAAGATATTGGTAACAAATGAAGAATTTGCAGCAAGGACATTAGACCACCCTGTGGCTCTTGGGACCCCAGGAGTCACTCCAGGGACTGGATTATTTACCCAGGATGGAAGTTTCATTCTCTCATTTGAAGGGTTCAGGCTCTTTTTCACCTGAAAAAATATTGTCCTGTAATCTGATTTATATAATGCAGATGCCACCTTCCTTGTGTCTTATCAATGAATTATATATCACTAGGAAGTTCCTTCGCTGGTCTGCTCATCTCAAAGGAACTTACTGTTTCAATGCTTTTTAAAAATAGTTGTAAAATTTTGAAGTATTTAAAATACTTTAAGAAGGTATAGGCTGAGTGCGGTGGTTCATATCTGTAAATCCCAGCACTTTGGGAGGTTGAGGCGGGTACATCACCTGAGGTCAGTAGTTCGAGACCAGCCTGGCCAACATGCTGAAACCCTATCTCTACTAAAAATACAAAATTAGCCTGGCATGGTGGCGCATGCCTGTAATCCCAGCTACTCAGGAGGCTGAGGCGGGAGAGCTGCTTGAAACCAGGAGGCAGAGGTTGCAGTGAGCCGAGATTGTGCCATTGCACTCCAGCCTGGGCAACAAGAGTGAAACTTTGTCTCCATAAAAAAAAAAAAAGGTATAGGACCATTATTAGTATCAACAGATAGATATTACTTTTAAAGATAGAGCCACCATGTTCACACTCATGCATGTGGTGGGTAAAGTCTGAAGCGTGACTGATACTGAACCTCAGGAGACTGATGGAGACCAACCTGTTTGGAGAATGGCAGCAGGCCTGTGTTATGAGCGGTGGTTGCCTCTTATCACATCCTGTTTTTGATCAATGTGTGATGTGCGTTCTACTCTTATTGATTATGATTGCTCTTAACCAGCTGCTTACTGACCATCTGTTTGTTTGTATGCATTAGAATAGGTACCTGGCCAGCAAGATAGTTAAGACATAGTCCCTCCCTGCCTTGGGGACTCTTGTGGCCCAAAACAGTGTGTGGCAGCAACATTAAGGAGGTGGCAGTGCCTGGGAATGGGAGGAATTAGAAAAACCTTGGTCTTGACAGATGCTTAGGGTTCTGAGAGGTGGAGGGATGGGCGGCTCATTCCAGGTTGAAGACAGGAGGCACGTGCTGTGACCAGGCTGTTGAAAACGGTTGTATGCTAATGCTGACCTGGTGCATAAACAGCAACTTGTGTCTCACCCAGCCAGGGGTTTTGTACTGTCAACCATACCAGATGGAAGGCGGAGTCAAGTGCTTTATGTCATAGTGTTTTCTTTCATCTAAATATTCCTTTCCTTGTGTTCCTTGTATTTCTTTTAGGTTGCCCATGAGGAAATGGGAAACATTCTGGCTTTTCTTGTTCCTTTTGTAGCCTGCATTTTCCAGGTGGGTGAAACGATATTTTGATGAGTGGATTAAATCCCTGACCTTATTTTGTTCATCTATCAGCAAGTTTCTACTTGTGATTTTTGTTCCACCAAGGTCATGGTTCAAATCAAGGACAATACTGAGCCCTTAGTGGAGGACCTTAGGCCCATCCTGCCTAGTTCTCTCATTTTACAGAGGAAGAACTTAGTGCTCAGAAAGGGAAAGCCCCTTGTTCAAGGCCAAGGGTGGCTCATGCCTGTAATCCTAGCACTTTGGGAGGCCAAGGCCTGCAGATCACTTGAGGCTGGGAGTTCAAGACCAGCCTGGGCAACATGGTGAAACCCTATCTCTATTATAATAAAAATACAAAAATTAGCTGAGTGTGGTGGTACATACCTATTGTTCCAGCTACTCAGGAGGCTGAGGCCTCCTGAGAATTGCTTGAACCAGGGAGGCAGAGGTTGCAGTGAGCTGAGATCAACGCCACTGCATTCCAGCCTGGGCGACAGAGCAAGACATTGTCTCAAAGAAAGAGGAAAAGCATTACCTGATTGTACAAAAAGAAATTTTCAACCCATGAAAATGCACTCATTTTTCAGAAAGCAAGTCTCCGAGACCGTGGGCACAGCCAGTGGTAGTTCCCTAGTGCAGTGTTTTAGGGCTGCAGGGATTGCACAGTTCCACCTCACTCCTTCAGCTGTGTTCCTAGTTGGATAGCTCCTTCAGTGGAGGGCTCACTCCCTCCCTCTGTAGATTCAACCTTTGTTGGATTGATCCATGTTCAGTGAATGCCCTTTTTTTTTAAAAAAAAAAAACAAAAAACAAACAACATTGAACCAAAATGCTGTTTCCACCTTCTGCAGAACAAGAATGGCCCCTTTTATGTGTGATAGTCATATACAAAATACCAGTCCTTCTCCCTGCTGAGAGACCTTTCCCCGACTCGGAGATGCTGTGGAAGACATGATAAGGAGGCTGCCCAAGGGAAGAGTGGGACTCAGTAAAGTCGTGGCTCAGGAGAAACCAAAACAGTAAAGGCATGGCTTCCTCTCACCAGCCTGCCTGCCTGTCATGGCTCCTCGAAGGAAAACTTCCCCGGGAGGCCAGTCAGGCACGTTAGGGTTCCCTGGCTTGGCTGTCTGCAGCTTATCTGCAGTTCTTCCTTCTCTACAGCAGCCTGGGCATTTCTATTTCTTGAACTTCTTTCAGATGTGCCATGCACTACTTCTTCCTGTGACATCTATTTCGCTTCCGTTTAATCTTCCAAATCCTCACTTTCATCCAGTGATTAGCAACAGCCTAACCAGTGGGTCCACACTTCATTGTAATGAATTCAATTTAATCAGCTAGTGTGAGAGAAATGACACTCTTCGTGGAAGCCGTGGGAGGTGAATTTGCGTGTTATCTAGTGGCCATTTTATCACTGATTGGAGTTCCTCTTCTGGTCTCGTTTCAGTGTTATTTGTACCTGTTCTACAGTCCAGCCAGGACTATGAAGGTGGTGGTGCTGCTGCTCTTTATTTGCCTGGGCAACATGTACCTGCACGGGCTGAGGAACCTTTGGCAAATCCTCTTCCACATAGGAGTGGCTGTTCTGTCTTCATATCAGATACTAACAAGGCAGCTTCAGGAGAAGCAGTCTGACTGTGGAGTATGAGGATGACACTGTGGTGAATGGAGTCCTTGATTTTCTTTTGAGAATCAATCTATGTTTCTCTTTCTGCTTCTCTACTTTACACTCCAGTTTCCACGCTTTTCAGCCAACTGGACTGAAGAATGAGGAATTGGGGATGTTAAACAGTTGCAGTGGAAGTCATGAGGCCGCTTGACACCCAGCCTTGGTTCTGTGCCGAGCGTGACTGCAGGGTCTCCAGTTCAGCACGTTGACTTAGGACAGCTGGATCTGGGGCCTCATCCAGAAAGAGCTTTACTGGAAGAGCCGAAAGGAAATATTTTGGTCTTTTAAATTGAATGATACAGCAAACCGCTAGATTCAGTAACACTGGTTTTAGTAATTGGCAGTTGTCTCCAAGGAACCACTTTAAAATCCAAATCAGCTTCAGTCTAAATATAAATTGGTTAGGTTTTTTTTTTTTTCTTTTTTTCCAGAGGGTCAGGACAGGGTGAATTAAAAACCTAAAAATATGGTTTGTAAATATAAGCTTGATAAATTTTGTTTACATTTTTTTGATATCTTAGGTTTGCTATACCTTTGGAATATTTAAATATATTTTGGATATAATTTGGACTTCATTTAGGGTGAGGGCAAACTTAAGCTGAGAAAATGGTTAAGAAATCTAGGTTAATTTAATTTATATGTGTATCCTTTTATGGTGGTGGGACCGTGTGGGTACAGAAATGTTATGTATTTATTTGCAGGATATATCTTAATACTTTTCAAATTAAATGAAAAACCAGTACTACTAGATGATAAGTTTATCAGCATGAGCAGAAATGAGAATTTCAGGATTCTTCACGATCGGCCACAGCCTAGAGTAGATGAACATGGGCTCAGTGGCACTTTACAGACCCGCTGGAGTTGCTGCTCTCATCAGCCTTTTCAGTAGAGCTGAGTGCCTGTTCTAATGATGACGACTCCTGTACCCTGTGTATGGGTTCCCAGAGCGCCTCCAAAAGTAATCACTCCTCTGCATCTTTCCCAGTCATCTTAATTAGCTTGAGGGCCCCATTTTTGATGAACAAGAATTAAATAGCTGTTAACTTTTTAAAGCTTTATAGAGGTATAATTAACACATACTCTGGAAAGTTACTTTCTTTATCAAAAAATTGATTGATTATAGTTTTCCAAAATATGGTTCTGGATAAGATCCCTTAGGTCTCCTAGAATTTCACCTGGCTTGTTTAGTGCCACTCAGGAGGCCATTTTGGGAGTTTGCTGTTTGGATTGCTTTTGGTAGAAGTCTGGAATCTGAATAGTTCAACCACAGTTGCATGGAACACTTTTAGTTGAATTATGTAGTCTTGATACGTTTTTTAAAAATCCTATTTTGATAGTTTTTAAAAGTGGAAAACCATTACAAGAGCTGAGTAGATAGGGAAGGTAAGAACGTAGTTTTAGAAAGTTCAATTGTATTTGGTTATCACTGGTATTGTTATTGAGCTACCTTGGTATCATTTTAAGAAAAACGAATTTATATACTGGGAACTATGTTGGGAAAATGTTGCCATAGTAACTTTATTTTTTATAACAGAATTTTATATTTTTGGCCAAACATAGAATATCTGGATATGGGCCGGGAACGATGGCTCATGCCTGTATTCCCAGTACCTTGGAAAGCCAGAGCAGGACAATCAGTTGAGGCCAGTTTGGACCAACCTGGAAAACATAGTAAGACCCATCTCTACAAAAACAAACAAACAAACAGCAACAAAAGAATTAGCCAGATGTGATGGCACATGCCTGTAATCACAGCACTGTGGGAGGCTGAGGCAGGAAGATCCCTGGAGTCCAGGAGTTTGAGGCTCCAGTGAGCTGTAATCACACCACTGCCCCCCTGGCCTGTGTGTCAGAGTGAAACCCTGTCTAAAAAAGCCTGGATATGAGGATTATATTGGCAGCATACTCAGACATAAACTCCAACGTTGTCTCTCCATTGATTTCACATCTGCATAATTTTCTGCATGCCCAGCAGGTGAATTTTCAGTCTTTCTGGGAGACAGTTTTGAGAGATGGTGAAATAAAATGGGAAGTTAAGGAGGGGAAGAAAATCATTTTAAATGAGAAGCACAAAAAAGCTTTAAAGTCGATAAGAACAGCTTGAAAATGGACTGTTTTCTTTTTAAGCCAGTGTGGCACTGGGTTGCCGTGTAGACCTGTATCCCGGGTACTTTGGGCATCTGAGCCTATGATCCATATTCAGCAGGCGGTAAAGAAACGGTCCTTGAAGATGAGTCCTTCATGGTAATGCTTCCTGACCTCTGAGGCACTACCTGAGATGTTATCCACACCAGGTCAAATGTGTGGATATCTGTTAACATCTGTATGGGGTGAGATTGACTTTTGCAAACAAAACGGAAAAGATGCACTAGGAAAACAGTACAAATAATGACCACAACAACATTGTTTGACTGAAATCCCGCTAGCTAAAAGAATCCTCAACTCACTGAAGGAGAGACTGATAATAAGAAACAAGTTCTGGTGATTTCATCCAGGGGAATCCCCAGGCTTAGGTTTGTCTTGGTTCCGGGTCAGAGGTGTTTAACCTCCTGTGTGATCCTCCCTACCAGCAAACTGGTTCCAAATCCCAGGAGCTTTCTCCCCCAACCACGGACTCACTGTTGTAGCACTTTTGTTTTCCCGGTGGTTAAATGCTACCTGTGCAGCTGACCTCACTGGGCTAGATCTGGGAATAGATGAAATAATGTTGAAAACAAAACTTTAAAGGTGCCTTCTGGTATCAGATGCTGCAAGGCCTTGAGCATCAGAGTGTGTTAAGTCCCAGCTACTGTACCAGGGCCAGAGTATGGCTCAGTTCTCTTAGGAAGGGTTTCCCAACCAAGGGGCCAAAGCCCAAAAGGTTTCCCCTTCCGTAGTATGCTAGTGAAGGAAACATGTAAGCCTGTTTTCCCCCATTAGGCTAGACTTACTGTGATGAGGACTGTGCCTGGGTTTCCTTTTCCTGAGTGGAGACAGCGGGGGCATACTTGGGTGGCATTCCCTCTCAGTACCAGAGGCCCCACTGCCTGCAGCAGGAGGCATGTGACTGTGAGCTCCTGGTTTTGCTTTTTGGGCTTGCATCCCTCTTTTCTGTGAACTCTGGAGAATGTTGAAATTAAAACATTTTGATTAAATGAGCTTGAGCTCCTCTGTTCTTTTCTAGGTGCTCTCATTCTCCGACTCGTGCCGTTTTCTACCTCTGCCCTATACACTCCGGCTCTGGAGACAGAGGCTGAAACTGGAGTCTGTGGAGGGATGAGAAAGCCGCCTTTAATTGTAACGAATGGGGTGGGTAGACGAGCTTCAGAGTGGGGGAAGATTGCATTGAGGTTCAACTCTCCCACCCATGCCTGGGAGTCAAGTCTTGGAGAGGATGAACACTCTTGGTCAGCACAGCTCAGAGTCAAAGACAACAGCCAGCAGGCCAGCAGCAAGGCGGGCTGTGAGTCACGGGAAGCAGGTGTGGGGTTAGGGAGCTGAGCTGGGGCTTCTCCCTCTGCTGGAAGATAGCAGCCGCCCCCTGGCATATGGGGGCTGCATGCTGCACCTTGTAGCCAGGGCCACCATTTGCTCTTCTGTGAAAGTTGGCCACTCATTGTAACATGCAGGATAGTGGCTTTCTGAGAACCTGCGGCTTGCACAGCGCAGCGTAAGTGAGGTCAGGCAGGAGTGGGAGTGATCAGATGTGCCTGGCAAGCTGCTGTTCAGCCATTGCTCACATTCCAAATGTTTTTGCACAGAATACTGCATAGGTCTGGGGAAGCTCTGTCTGTGCACTGTGAGTGTTAATGATGGTGGAGGAAGAGCGTAGCTGTGCCCTTGAGAGATAAGGTGAGGGAGAGTGCACCAGCTGGCTGTCGGCTGGCGAGGCTCTTCACCCAGTCCTGTGTCACAGTGCACAAATCATTGCCCATCAGACCTCAGTTTCCTCATCTGCTCAATGGTGATAACATCAATCTGCACCCCCGCTGCTGTTATGAGGGTCAAAACTGGTAGTGGAGGGGAATACTGGGTGAATCCATTGTGTGTGGGAGGAGAAAGGCTTTGCCTTCACCTGCTACTTGAAGGGTTTTTCTGCATGCTTCAGGCAGCACAGCACAGCTGTTTCTTCCAGCCTTTAGAAAAAGGCATTTTGTTATAATACAGTGTAAACGGCCTCATTTTTTCACTCCAAAAGGTAGCAGCCCCTCTTCTTTCCACGCTGGACCTGACTTCTCCCTGGGCACAGAGCCCATGGTACCATTGGTGTCTGGTTTATTCCAGGATCCAGGGAGCTGGTTCTGCTGGCTGAACCAAACCTCATGAGCCATCCCTGACCCAAATGAGAGCTCTGATTCTCCCATCTGGGAGCAGAGAGGTCAGACTTCTGTTGCTAGGGAAATCTCATCAGCAGGGAACCTGCGGCAAAGGGCTTGTTAGTAAATCTGGGAATGGCTGGCTACGGAAACATCTGCCCATGTGTACTGATGGCAGAGCTGTTCCCCACAAGAGCCTTTTATTTAGGGTAAAATGAACAAACCCATTCTGTTCCTCCAACCCATGCTCGGTACATATGACCTTCTTTAACCCTTACGTTTATATAATTCTGGGGTTGCTTCAGAAGGGTTATTTAATGAATCATTCGTATGATTTGATCCTCCAGGATTCTATTTTGTTTGATGGGCTTTTCTATTAAGAGCATAAAATACTGAGGCTGATTTAGTCAGGGCAAAACCATTTACTTTACATATTTTAAATACCTGCTGTTCATGTTACACAAGCTTCTTACAGTTTTCTTGTAACAATAAATGTCTATTTTGAGTAACTAATGGGTACATTTTAACACTCATATAGTAGTATAACCTAAACTTGTATAAAAGTATGTGAAAATGTATAGCCATTTATATCCTATGTATACATAAATGAGGTGGCTTCAGAAATGGCAGAATAAATCTAAAGCGTTTATTAACATGTGTCTTTGCACTTGGGTGAAACATTCGGAAATATGGAGGCTTTCCTAGACAGTATGGTGTGGGCCTGACATCACGGGAGGGGGTTGCTGAGAGACGTGAAAGTCAGGTCATCCTGCCCAGTGAGGCCTGGACAAGTGCAAGGCTCAGAAAGTCTTTAGCACTAATCCCCAACCAAAATAGCGGTCGCGACGATGCCCTGGGGCTGGGCGGCCTGCCCTTTTTGCAGGTGCATTCCCTGCCTTCCGTTTTGGGCCCTTGTCCGCTGTGAAGGTGAAGTTCCATCTCCCAGGACCAGCCTGACCACATGGCCACCAGGGGGCGCAGCTGCTGGCCACATCATCAGGCTTCCAGCCAAGGGACGGTGGCCTTTTGCAAAGGCCGTTCCTGCAGCAGCTGATAAAGTTCCCAGAAAGGAAGCAAATGCACGAACCCCTCCTCACCATCCTCTAAACACATCGGGGAATTCACTTTCCAAGAGTCTGCAGCATCTGTCCTGAGTAAGAATCTTTTGGAGGAAGGCAGTGACTTCCAAAATAAACATCTGAGTTACTGGGGGCTGGGATTTGGGAGCTGACAGTTTTCAGACACCATCTGAAACTTCTTTGCTCAGGTGGGGAAGCTGAGGCTTGTCCTGGGAGCCAGTAACAGCAAAGTTCAGAGCTCTGTTTCCCCTGAGCAGGAAACAAGGGGCCGCCCCCACTCGGCAGTACCCACGAAGAATAAAAGCAGACTCTGGCCCCGGAAAGTGTTCCTCCTATGCCGGGGGGCTGGATGAGAAGCTCTGGCTGGTGAGTTGCCTTCTTTTTTCTTGGGCCCTACCCCTTGAGGGGGGCCAGGCACCAGAAGCGCTGTCACACAGCTGCCAAGTGTCTTTGGGCAGTGCCAGTGGAGGAGATGCTCTGTGAGGAAGGAGCCCACCTGGCTCTGCTGAGTCAGCACCAAGATGCTGCTGGGATCAGATGTGGACGGCAAAACCTGTGGAGCACACTGAAGAACTTGAAGATGACCTTTGTGGCCTGTGCAGCACACTGAAGAACCTGAAGATGACCTTTGTGGCCTGTGCAGCACACTGAAGAACTTGAAGATGACCTTTGTGGCCCATGGTGGAAAAGGACTTCTTGACAAAAATGTCACAGGCACAGCCCTTAAGGCAAAATGACTGATGAATTTGATGATACACAAATAAAGGATTTTTTTTATGGGCAAAGTTAAAAGGATGGGAGGAGATATTTATGATGCCAGAAACCAATAAGGGATTAATAACACAGAAGAAATCCCTGTAAACCAGCAAGAAAGAGCAATCCCAATAGAAAAATGTGCAATTTACAGAAGAGAACACCTAAAAGCTAATAAGCATATGAAGAGATTTAAAGTCATTGGCAATACACATTAAGACAATAATAAGACATCCCCTTACACCTATGAGTTTGGCAAATCTTGCAAAGCTGGGTGACACCAAGTGCGGGGCAGCGGGGAGTGTGGGGAGGCAAGACCTCGTGTGAGCCGGCAGGGAGAAGGGAGGCACAGCCCATCTGCAGAGCCATGCCACGGTGAGGGGCTGAGTTCTGTCCCCACAGAATTCACTTGTTGAAGTCCTAACCCACGAGAAGATGAATGTCTGCTTAAACCACCCAGACTGGTACTTCGTTAGGGCAGCCTTAACTAAAGAATAAAGCCTATTTGCCCGAGTTAACAGTGCACATCTTGTGAAGTGGAAATTTTACTCCTGATTATATGTCCTGGGAAAATTCTTACACAGATCCTTAAGGGGACATGTTCATTTAAGACTTATTGGTGTTGGTGGAAAGCAATTTGTGTGTCCACCATGGAGCGTCACGATGCAGGCAGATGTACCAGATTTAGATGTAACGTCACATGGATGAATCTTCAAAACTTAGAGCTGAGTGAAGAATGACTGTTACATGATAAGAGATACATACAAAATGAGAAAATATTTTCTGAGGGTATATGCAAAAAGAGACGTGTTAAATACACTTGAATGGCTGCTTACAAGGGACCAGGAACTTGGGAATTAGGTCTAAGGATAAGGAATTGTTTTAAAAAGACGGTTGTGGGCTGGGTGCAGTGGCTAATGCCTGTAATCCCAGCACTTTGGGAGGCCAAGGTGGGTGGATCATGAGGTCAGGAGTTCAAGACCAGCCTGGCCAAGATTGTGAAACCCCGTCTCTACTAAAAATACAAAAATTAGCCAGGTGTGGTGGTGGGCACCTGTATTCCCAGCTACTTGGGAGGCTGACGCAAGAATTGCTTGAACCCGGCAGGTGGAGGTTGCAGTGAGCTGAGATCGTGCCACTGCACTCCAGCCTGGGCAACATAGTGAGACTCCATCCCAAAAAAAAAAAAAAAAGGAGGGTTGCTGAAGTCAGCAGTCAGTTCCGAGAGCTCTGGGAGAATAAGGTGGGTCTGCTTTTCCCTGCGGGATCTTGTTCTGGCCGTGCCCAGCCCTGTGGTTAACGTGATGCGGTTGAGAAGGCTGGCGGTTGGGGGCTCTAAAGCCCCATGTGCTGCCAGAGTGTTGGGGGCTCCAGGGCTGCAGCGGTGGTGGGGGGAGGGTGCAGGGAAACTGAAGCCTGGGGCTACATTGGTGATTGAGGGCTCTGGAAGCCATGGGGGGCTGGGGTAGGGAAGAGCAGAGAGGAGAGACTCCAGAGGGGAAAGTGGGCAGGAGAGCTGGCTGTGACTCATCCCCATATTCCAGCCGTTTCCTGGCCAGGACTTTCCCATATGAGGCACTCAGCGAAGGGCTCTCACGAGGACAAGGAACACAGCTACAGGGGGACAGAGGTGCCCTCTGGGCAATTTCTTCCTCCCACCCCAGAAATAGCCGGTTCTGCCCACAGAGCCCAGAGTGTGAGCCTGGGGAAGTGAAGCCAGAGGCGAGTGGGGGTGGGAGGATCAAGGTGATCAGGACCACCACTGCCCTGGGGTTACTCCAGGCGCCTTTCCTGAGGCCCCAGGGATCACAGCAAGGGCTGGGGCAAGGAACACAGGGCCAGCCTTAGGATGAACTTTCTCACAGAGCTGGCCAGCAGGGCTGGAGAGGCCGTGAGCTCCACTGCGAGGTGTGCAGGCAGAAATGCGCTCTGTCTGATGGAGTCTCGGAACACGCTGTCCCCATCTCGCAGACATCATCTGGTACTGAACGCTGGCTCCGGGGGCATTTT